TATATTAAGAAATATTATTCATTTTATAATAAATAATATTATAGAAAGGCCACGTCCCCACTTGTGCACGTCATCACGCCAGATGCGATTTCTAAATGACGTTATTTTCCTTAAGATTATCGATTGCTTATCCCTTTGTAGCATTGGTTGAATAAAACATATAAATAAAAAACTGCATTTAATTTTGTTATATAAGTGATGATAAAATAATCTGAACAAATCTACAGAATCTTCCAAAACTCGCTCAATTTCTTCGTTTGCTTCATTTTTTTCCGTAATAAAATTATTTTGGACGCTAGACTTTAAATAGTGCTATTATCATTGTTATAATATATGCGCGTGTGCGTGCCCGTGCACCTAAAAAAACGTTTTTAGTAATATTTTAACTGAGCGATAATATTTAAGGACTAATCTATATATATAATTGCTAACAAACTTTAATAAATTTTATTCAACCAACAATTAATAAAAAATAAGACTTTATTTAATAAAAATAAGTTCATTTAATAAAAATATATCCACCATTTAATAAAAAATATGTAACTTTCGATTACACATTTTATTTTGATAGGGTCCTCTGTTGGATGGTGCTCATCGGTAAAATGTATTTTTATGTCCTCAAATACAAAATAGTTTTTTTTAATACTATATATTTTTTGGTGTTATAAAAATACACATTTCACAACTAATTAAGAATGACTATAGATATTACTATTTTCTATTGGAGTCATACAATAATAAAAAAATATTTTTTTAGATATTACAAAGATAAGAGTCACGAGTCGAATGGGTTAAATGATATGATTTGTTGTGATAAGAATTCTGACGATAAGAAAACTACGAATTTGTATAAAGTGGTGCTTGATAATATTTAGATTCATTTTTTAAAATTATTTCTTTTCTCATTTATTAAGTTATAATTTTTATTTTAATTTATAATTACTTTCTATTCTATTATATTGTTTTTCGTACAAATGCACGTCAAACTAGTTCTTCTAATATGAAAGATTTGAAAAGAAGAATAATAATGCGATTGATATGATTAATCTTCTCCAAAAAAATACACTGAGGTCCGTATTCAAAAAATTGACCTCGGTAATTGGGAGCATCTTAGAATCTTATCTATACCTATATTAAAGGGGGTACTATTTACCAAATTAAGTAGCCAGAAAAGTCAACAGCATTTATTGCATTACTATTTCCGTATTATATTATATAAAAGGATATTCTATTTACTACATTTATTATCCGGAAAAGTCAACTGCATTAAATGTCATTACTATTTTGGTATTATAATATTTTATTTATTTAGTTAATTTATTTATTTGTTTTATTTTAAAAAGATAAGTATAATAAAAAGATTTTAATAATAAAAAAATTAAATAGCAAATAAAAATGTACACTTTGACTTATTTGATTATATTTGGTATTTGATTATACCAAATATATTCCTATTTAGTATATACATTAAATACTTACTAAAGTATTTATTTGTTTTATTTGTCAAAGTTAAGTATAGATTTGTTTATATTATCAAATCATAAAAAATATTAAATCCATATTGCAAAAAAAAAATCATATAATTTTATAACAATTCTACTACACTATTTAACAATATTTCTTTTTTATTATATAATAAAATAATAATTAAATATTATATGTTGAACAACAATAAGTAAAATTGTTACTTTCTCTTATATCAGGGGGATAAATTTATATGCTAAAATTAAATTTTTATTAGTATAAATGTGTTAGTGAGATAATATATTAATTATTTTACAAGCTACCCCTAACATGCTCATATTTAATGTTTTAAAAGATGTAGAAAAAAACTTATAATAACTCTATTGTTTTTTAGACTTAAACGTTGATTAAAGGAGGTAAAAATTCCTAATTTTTTAGACTTAAACTTTGATTAACACCATAGATTGAGAGTTTATATTTAGTAAAATTCCTAATTGTAATAAAAAAATTAATTTTTGCTATATTTTAGAATATCTTTAAATTCATTATAAAAAAAAAGAAAAAAAAAAACTACAATGAAAAAAACAAGTCAGCTATATATCGATTTGTTGTACTCTTCAAATCACATTCACAATTTGGCTACAAGGAAATGAAACTCATTGATTAAAATATTATTTTGTCAGTAGTCTTAATGTACAAGAGACTTTAAGACTCTACTTGAATATTATAAAATTTTTATTGAACATCGTACAATTCTTGCGTATTATAAACTTTTATTGAATATTGCATCTTATAATAAAATATTCTCCAAATAAATATATCTCGCGGGTCACGTACTATATATATTCCGTACATTTTTCTTTATTCATGTATATAATTATAAGTCTGGATAAATAGCCTTAAAATTGTGCACCCCGTGCATCGCACGGGCTCTGTACTAGTATTGAGAAAAACCACACCTTTAGATTTGAAAAATATTTTATTTGGGAAATTCGAATCTTATATTGACGAACAATACAAATATTTGATCTTTAGATTTGAAAATGCTCATCTTTATTTTGGGAAATTCGTACTTATTGGTGCGGAATTGTTGTCACCAATATTTGTTACGTCATATCAGCACACGTCTATATAAGTGTGTATAATTCAACGATAATAAATTAAAATTTGGGCATGCACAAATCTGAATTCTTTCTTTATTTCACAATAAAAAAAACATTATGCATGAAATTAGGTGAATATACCTCACATTACGGGGTAGGTAAAATAGTTGAAAATTAAAAAGTATTATCATATTCATGCTCACATTACGGGTAGGTAAAGTAAAATAGTTGAAAATTAAAAAGTATTATCATATTCATGTTCTTTAAACCATCTATATTTTACACATCACGTGTCATTAAGTACCTTGACATAGTAACAGGGGCACAAAAAATTAGGAGTTCATAATATTTAATAAGATACAATATTTTCAAATTTTGTAATACAATGATTTCTTGAGTAAATTCATCCACAACATAATATTCTCGTAGTCATTTTACATCTCATAGGTTAAATTATATTTGATAAACCTTAACTAATGACCTAGTTGATATATGATAAATTAGCTGATAGTTTATAAGTGAATTTTGAGTTTATACTTACCACTGATGCCTGAAAACATATTTGATATATTAAAAGTATTTGGTAAAATCAGTTCATAAGTCAGTTAAATTTCAACCGATTAATTTGAAAAGTTATCCAAGAAGCTTATCAGATAAACTCGAGCTTTTACAAAAAACTCGTGTTACAAAAAAAAAAAAGGAACAACAAAAGAAACTTATTTGAATAGACTAGGCTTATAAGTTAAACAAATAAGTTAAAAGCTAGCTTATGGTGGTTAACAAAGACACTCTAATCTCATCCAGCGAATAAAACTATCTTAACATAATGCGTTTGACAAAAATGATGACAAAATATGAGATGGGTATTTAATAAAATAATGTGATGTTTATATTATAGGATCGTTACATAGATTATTATGCTAAATATTTATGTCATAGATTCCAGCTTAATAATCTTTCTTATTAATCCTTATTGTCCTCGAGATATATTGAGACAACGTTACAAAACCTAACAAAAATTGGACATTTACATTCTTGTTTTTATGATTGGTAAATAATTGTGGATATACGATCAAATAAAAAATGTTACACTGTTACCATATCTTGAACAAATATTTAAGAATATGCATGTGTTATCAGTTTAGCAAAATAAAAAATAGATTCTCTTCTTGATTTCCGTAACTAACAACAATTACATTAATTTCTAAAAATAAATACATCTATATATATATAATATAATTTAACATTTTTAAAAAATAGTAAGCAAAAAAATAGGGAACATTAATTGCATTCCATTTTTGATATGTTTTTTTTAATTTTTTTAATAAAAAATCAAGTAGCATTTAATGCTAGCATAAATCATGGGATTTGTTATATAGATGCATATTTAAATTTTAAACTTCAAACAAAACATGCCTAAATGTATTTTGAATTTTTTAGAGGAAAAATTTAACAAACACGTTGAAGATTTCATACAATACATATATTTATATATATTATCTCAACATATAGGTTAATTAGTTTCATATCTAAACAATATATATTTAAACAATATATAAACAAATATAATAATTTGTCGTACAATACAAAAAAATATATAAACAATATATTTATATACAAATATAATAACAATACAAACAATATATAAACAAATATAATAACTTGTCACGCGTATATTTCGTACAATACATATATTTATATATATTTTCTTAACATATAAGTTAATTAGTTTCATATTTAAACAATATATATTTTTTATCATTTTGTTACATTTCCGAATGATTTGTTTCCCATAACATCGGACGTAATTAATAATTTCATAGAATTCAAGTATGATTTGAATTTATATCGAGGATGTTTAATAATTGCATAGAATTTCAAAGATGTTTATTTAGTATAAAAAAATTAAATTCTAGAAAAACATTTGTGTATATTTTGTAAAATTTTTGTACAAAATATTTTACTTTAAATTTATTTACATAATTTAAATTAGTTACATTAATAAATAATATTAACATACATTAAATATTTTAATTACATCAAACAAAAAGAAGAAGAAGACTACTTCTATAACTTGTATAAATGATAATAATGACATTATATTACAATAAATTTTATAATAAAATAATATGAGTACTATACGAGGAACCAGATTACGTAAAATTGTTATTTTTCTTATATCAAGGAATAAATATATAAAATGAAATCAAATTTATATTATTATAAACATGTGAGCGAGATAATATATTAATTAATTTACGGGATTGTGCTACCAGACTCAGGTTTAATGTTTCGACAAAAAAAAAAAATGACGTTGATGAAAAGATGTAAAAAGATAAATGATCAGACTCTATTATTTTTTAGGCCTAAACGGACAAGCCCTATGGTCCACTCATTCAATATCTCCCGTGAATCGCACGAGCTACTTAACGGACAAACTCTGTGGAAATAACTCATTTAATACTTATGCCCCGTGCATCGCACGGGCTACGTACTAGTCTGATAAACATGGGGAGAACGTGTGAAGACTAAATGAATGAATAACAAACAGATGAAAAATTAGGAAGGCTAAAATGTTAGCGGCGTTGCATAAGAATATATACAACATATAAATATCACATATATGGTCTTGAAACAACAACAGAGTTGCAGCCCGGTACTGTAAGTATATCATTCATTTACATATACATAACATAATCGTGTTATATACTTAATATGTACGTACATAATTGTGTTATATACTAATTATCGAAAAACAACATAAACAATAATCAACAAAAAAATCTTCTAATAAACTAAAATAAACGTTGGAAACACATATACTGTCTGTATACTCAACATATACTGAAAATATACCGTCTATATACTCAACATATACTGCAACATCATTTTCGCCAACTTACAACCTTTCAAATTTTGTCCCATCAATAACGCCATTAAAAGCTCCAGCAACTCCCAATCCACGTGCCCACCGTCCCCTTCCCGCGCGTCCGCCATTTCCACCATCAACAATCGAAAATCGTCGTACGGTCTCGGAGAGTACATCAGCAGCGCATGAAATCATCCGATTTGCCGCCAACTTCTGCGAACGAGAATTGTACGATGGGGAGAAGGCGATGGAGTCCACCATCAGAAATCTCCCCAACCGTCTAAAATCGTCGATCGTCCACCATCAGCACGCTCAAGAAGCCAGCGGTGATGAAGAACTTGGCGAAACCGTGGAGTGCACCATCAACACGCTCGATTTCTCCCGACAGCGGGTTATCGAGGAACCGCGAACAGAAACACCGTTTTCACCCATTTTTCAAACAGGAACAGGTCGAAGTCGGTGAGGGAAATGGCGTCGTTTTCATTCCTATGACCGTTTTGAAGGTCGGCAGCGGCGAATTGGAATTTGAGTGCTTCGGTTTCTCCCAGAAAAGTTTGATTTATTAAATACAGTCTAAACAAACTTTTTTGATATACAGTAGATAAACAAATAAAATTGAGACGTTTGGTATTTTCTTACTAATAAAAAGATAGGTATGTATATATCCAAAATAAAAGTTCTCTTGGATCGTATAGGGAGAAATTATCTTAAAATGGTAAGCTGTCATTAGGTTTACATATATAGCGGGCCAACCAAGCCCAACACACTCTAGCCCACTACTTAAAAGCCCACTCCTTAGGAATTACCCATAGCTGTAGCGCTGAACTTTATTAAGTCCGGACTATAATTACACTATCCCCAAATTTACTGTTTATGATCAGTGAACATCAGTGAACATCTGATCCTAAAAGATTTCATCCACATTAACAAATAAATGTAGTGTTAAAACTATTTATGTAATTTTATGGTGTTCATGGAGACTAAAAGTTTTATTTATGTAAATTATGTGTTTCAAAACTGCAAAATATTAATCAAACTTAAATTATAAAATATAAATACATTCCAGCTCAATTATTTGTTTATCTGTTATATATATTTTATATATGATATATCAAATTATTTAAAAAATATTTATCCACCAATAAAAACTAGCCCATTCAACACACAAGTATAATTTTAAATATAAATAATAATATTTTTAGAAGAATTATTTAAAAATTTAAAGTATAAACATTTTAAAAAAAATTATCCATAACTTTGTAATTCGAGGCCACCCCGGGCACTATAGTATACTGATTTAAAGACAGCACTGCACTGCAATTACAAGACCCTAACAATTCACAAATACCACCTAAAAAAATGAATCCAACTTCTCAACAACACCCTAAAAAAATCCCAAGAACAGAACCCCTTAAATGAATACCACAATCATTTAAATCTGAAAAAAAAAAAAAATTCAGAATAAACATTACAATTCCAAATCTCATCCTCCATGCATAATACCCGGTGGTCATTACACCCCTAGGATGATACCTCATTGAACTATAATTACTTAGTTCCCTTTACACTCCAATCACAAAATCCGAACGCAAAAGGCAAAAATCGAAAAAACGAACCATATTCTCTTCTTCCTCTTCGCTCACGAAGAACAGCAGCCACCTTTCTTCATATGCGTCACGTCCTTAGTGACGTCAATCTTCTCACCTTTAGAAGGGACACCTGGCGCATCCTCATTGGCTCCCGTGTCCATCGTCTTCCTACTCACAGTGTGGTGTATTTGCGTTAGAACCTCGGTAAACGCATTGTCCACGTTTGTCGAATCGAGTGCGGAGGTCTCCATGAAGTAGAGCGACTCGCGCTCGGCAAAAGAGGTCCCGGCGTCAGTCGAGACGGCCACGAGGTGTCGGAGGTCGGATTTGTTGCCGACGAGCATCACGACCGTGCTCGGGTCCGTGTGGTCGCGAAGCTCTTTGAGCCACCGCTCGACGCTCTCGAACGTCGAGTGCCTCGTCACGTCGTAAACGAGGAGGGCGCCCACGGCCCCGCGGTAGTACGCGCTCGTGATGGCACGGTACCTAGGGGCAAAATCGGAAACAAAAATTGTCGAGCATGAAGAAGTGAATGAAAAAAGTTTTTTTGAAAAAAAAGGAGGAATGAATCTTGTAAGGCTATATTTGGTAAACCCAGCTGATAGCTTTTAAGTGAATTTCGAGCTTATAGCTGATAGCTTATGACTTATGGCTGAAAAGCTAGCTTATATGATGAAAGTGTTCGCTAAAATTAGCTGATAAGCAAACTTATTTAAAAAAGCTACCCAAATAAGCTTATGAGATAAGATCGAGTTTTTTAAAACTTATAACCTAACCAAATAAGCTATAAGCTAGGTTATTTGGTTACCAAACATAGCCTTATAACTCAACATATAAAAATGCTGATCAGGTAAGAGGGCATTTGTACTAGTAAATGATTGTTAGAATATTTAGCCCAATACAGCTAACTGTATCCAAATTTTAGTTTAGAGCATTTCATTTTAGACCGAACGCAAAAGGCATCAGTTGCCCAAAATTTCAACTTCAATAAAAAAGGTAGCTTACGGGCTGCAGGTTCCTTGAAAGGGTTAACGATAAATCAGCTTATTCTTTGTGCACAATAACACTGATTATCCTATTAATTACAGAAACTGGGAAGGGTTTCCAACAGTAAAACTTTACAAGTACAGAGGATTATGGGATTAACGGCCAGCAAACTGTATTTCCAACATTTACTTATGATTATTAGCCAATAATAGTAAAGACCAATGTAAATGTCGAAAAAACGAGTAAAACAGCAAGTCATAACATAAGACTAATATGTCCTCAACCAAATGACTATACATGCAGTTCGCAAATGTTAGTATACGATCATAAGGCATAAAACAGTAAACACAACATAATGTAAAACCACATACAAATAAGCACACAACGGCAACATAATCGAGTGCCACCTGGCTCATGCATTTTTAGTACGAGCATAAGTTCGAAATTTTGTGAACTTAACAGTACCACAATCAAATGTTCATTAGTAGATACTGTTAAAATCTTATATCCTTATATTATAAGATCACTTGACAAGATTTGAGTCCAACTGAAAGATAATTTAATAACAATACATGATTCTGTTCTTTATAGCAGAAAAGCCATTATTTTGTGATCCTGAAGAGAGATTCTCAAATCTGCCTCTGACCCAGAATTATAGGAGATACTATTATGATCCCTCTTTTCTGTAATCTGTCAAACAATATAAGTCTCACTGTACAAATCAGGATCACTAATTCACTTTAAACCAAACCATAAACCCTCATTATTACATCAAACAGCTTTCAGATCTATTCTAAGTTCTAACCTCAATCAACTTTTGCACAAAAATTTCACAAAACCAACTGTAAGATCCATTTCGTCATCAAAACATAAACTCATCAACTCAACCAAACAGCTAAACCCAAAATGGGAAACAGAAAAAAAAAAAAAAAA